TTCCAGTCTATTAAAATAACAAAAAAACAACTCTAAAAAAATCTAAATTCACACATTTGTTCCAGATTTTTGTCATGTATTTGTAACTTAACAGTCTTAGCTTTCTTCTTAAAAAAAATAAAATAAAATAAAACTCTTAATCCACGATTGCATTTCAACTACAGCGGTCTGCACACTTTCCTATACAAACAACAAATTTCTACTTGTTTTCTAATCGCTTATACAACATTATTAAAACATTATTTATCATTTTGTTGAAAGCATTAGGGCTGCATTCACTGCCTTGACGAACAGTGCTGCAACAACAAATCGATTAAATCGATAAAAATCGATTACTAAAAGCATTGACAAAAAATTTCATTATTGATTTGTTGTTGCGCGACTCGGAGACGTTTGATTAAAAAAAAAAAACACTTTAGCTCAGCGCAGAGCGGAGTAAACACGGCACCTCTCCGTCTCTAGTGCACTGATATAGGGTTCAGCGCCTCAAGAAGACAGGACCAGGGGCGGACTGGGACAAAAAACAGCCCTGGCACTGTAGCCACACCAACCTACATTACCACACCGACACAGCCCCACCCACGGACACGCACATTCACTACTTATATTGGTGTACAGATGGTCAAATACTATAAGCAGTACCTTACTGTATGAGATATTTAAACATTCAATGTATGTGACTGGAACAAAAACAACAGATTTATACATACATTTCATTCATTCATTTTCTTTTCGGCTTAGTCCCTTTATTAATCTGCGTTCACCACAGCGAAATTAAACCACTAATATATCCAGCATATGTTTCGCACAGCAGATACTCCCCAGCTGTAATCCATCATTGGGAAACACCCATACACTACGGACAATTTAGCTTGCCCCATTCCCCTATAGCGCATGTGGTTGGACTAGGGGGGAAGCCGGAGCACCCAGAGGAAACCCACGCCAACACGGGGATGACATGCAAACTCCACACAGAAATGCCAACTGACCTAGCCGAAGCACAAACCAGCGACCTCCTTGTGAGTTGATAGTGCTACCCTCTGGCCACCGCATTGCCCCCTTTCGAAACTGATTTTAAAACCTGACTTTTTTTTGCGTTCTCTGTGCTTTTCGGCACCGCCTTCCCTTTTTTATGGCCCATCTCTGACAATTTGCTTGTGTTGCACTTACTGTTTGACATTCTTGCCAAATTTTGATTACTTCTGTATAACCTCTGATTGGGTCGGCCCACCTCGAAACCAGCCAGCCGATGCCGATTGCGCCAAATGCTTAACATTTTTTATTAGTATTAATATCATCATCATCATAATATTCGCATCGTGCAAGAGATAAAAGCTGCCTGTGTAACGGAGACCAGCTAGTGTGTGCTGTGCAGGTAAATCTGGTACGATACCAGCTCGGAGCGGGTTGGGTGGCATAGGATCGGTGGGGTTACATTGGTGCCGTGACCCGGATGGGAGTGAGGTTTAGGGGGGTGAGTGTAACGGAGGCCAGCTAGTGTGTGCTGTGCAGGTAAACCTCACTCCTATGACCTCTAAAGGTGCTCTAGCGACAGAAGCTAGAGGCCATGGTCTTTAGCCTCCTTGGTAGAGCACCCAACTCCCATGCGGATGGTCGCCAATTCGAAACCAGCTCGGAGCGGGTTAGGTGGCATGGGACTGGCGGGGTTTCACCTGCATGTTAAAACAATACATATAAAAAAAAAAATTAAAAAAATTTTCAAAACCTGATCGGCCCACATTTTAAAAATGGTCCGGCCCTTCTGGTATTTGCCAGAATTGCCAGATGGCCAGTCCGCCCCTGGACAGGGATGATGCGGAATAATCACTAAAGAATCCTACTTTTGTTCCGTTTTGAAGTGAGAACCGTAAAGAACCTGGTGATGGTGTTTGTGTCGGGCGCTGAGTCAGAGAAAGACAGAAGGGTTAAGTTGGTTTTGTTTTCGGTATTCCTGACACATTCAGTGATAGACGGCATTAACTAAAAAAACTCTTACCCTAAAAAGATCTAAACTGTATTTCCTACAAAAAGACAAAGCTGGCTATGTTTCACAGCTGTCCTTTTCTTTTTTTTCGCTCGATATTACGAGCACTGCTCCGTTTATGCAGTCGCAAAATGCACTGAGGCAGTGACAGTTCGCGCTGAGTAGAGCTCTCAGTAAGGGACCGTCGGAAAAGTGCTTCTTTTTTCCTTTTTTTTTCCGAAAACAAAACCAACTCAACTGACGTGTCATATTATCACAATTATGCAGTGTTTTAACCGCCTAATACTTCATTAAGGTTTTAGATATGCGAATACACACAACTATAGTAAAACAATACATTTAGAGTTTTGAAAACACACAAGGAAGTCTAACAATCCATTCAAATATCATTTGCTGATGTGTTTCATTCATATCAGATAAACATTACACATAGTGAAAGTAACTATAAAGTTGAATCTACTCTTCTCTAAGTTCACCAGCCACTTACTTGCATGTTTTTTGGGAGTAACTTATGAATGTACCTGCTGAATCCTGCTTGTTTTGCTTTTTATCAATGAGGCAGCGGCCGCAAGTTCACATGAAGCTTTACATCTCATGTAACAGATCACGATCAACACGTTTATGTGAATTGGAATAGGTAGTTGATGACAAGATGAGCATGTGAATATGTCGAATTAAAACAGAAAAAATAAATAAATAAAAGGGATACATCTGTCATACATCGTTGTTGTGGCTGCGTTGTGTCACATGACACCTTAAGGGTGAATGTTCTAAAAAAAACTGACTCCCGGGCCAGATAGAATCTTTTTAAACTCAGCAGGGGAAGAGTTAATAACAGTAGTAAAGCAGCGGTGGTAGAGTTACTTTGCATTGCAATATTAAAGACACATTTTTATTCACTCGCCTTTTTTGGATCCTTTATTTTTCCATCTGTTGTCATGTAACAACAAGACCTAGGAGACAAATGAGCAGAGTGGAGATGGATCAGATAAAGTGGTCATTTTATACCTGTCAACCCTCCCGTTTTTCCCGGGTTTCTCCCGTATTTTACTGTTCTATCCCGCTACCATCCTGTAAAGGTATTTTCCCGTATTTCTCCCATATTTTCAGTGTTTCTCTGAACAGCCGATCCTCCATATACGCAACCCATACCACCGAACCACCAGGGGTCGCCTCTTGCTCTAAAACGTGAGCCTTCTGTGCTTTTGCTCTGTTTAGGAATGAAAACACTTATAAGTAAATATTAAAAATGGCGCGATTCCATTTCTTTTTGATTACAGGTGCCGTCACCCAGTCATATAATAGTGCATGACTGTCAGCTGACATGCTCCATAGTGATAAATAGACGCTGTTTGCCAAACGGAATCTGTACACTCGATTTGAAGCGGAGAGAAAGTCTGGCTTTTGGGTGCGTGCGTAAACACACATACACACATAATTAATAATAATAACATAAACATGTCGATCTTGGTTTTTTTTTTTCCAAACACAACTAATTTCATCTTAAATGAGCATAAAAAGTTAGAAAAGCAGTCATGCTTTCATTATAACGTTAGATGTGTGCGTTTTTAAAGAGACACCTCTTATTTAATGTAATAAAAAAATCTTAATAAATAAAATAATAGTAATATAATAATATTAATAAATAAGAGATTCATACGGTTACAAAGTCAGTTCTTGACCCCTCAGGAAGATATGTAATGATACAGGGACATATGTATTCTGAACAGTGGACGATGTTGAATATTTATGCCCCAAATATTGATGACCACTTGTTCATGCAAAATGTTTTCCTCCAAATTGCTCAATCATCAGGCTCACTCCTGGTAGGTGGAGATTTAAATTTTGTTTTAGAAGATATACTAGATAGATCTTTAACTAAACCAGTGCCCCTTTCTAAAGCAGCTAAATCTACACAGAAATATTTCATCCAAAAATTAAGATTTATGTAATTTTATTACATGACAAATTCCCATTTATATTATTTTCATATTTTTGACACAAATCTACCAAATAAACTTTATACTATTTATTTTCATAAGGATAATAAAACCTATTTATTTTAAATGCATAATCCTCAGGTTTACGTAATTAGTTCATGTAAAGTGTAATTATTCTAAATTAATAATAAAAAGTGTATTTATTTAAAAAAATAAAGTTTATTGTATAAATTGCATAATGATTAAGAGAACTAAATCGGGGTAACTAAAAAATATAAATAACATTTATTTGAATCATGTTTAATGTATGCTTATATACTAAACCAAATCAAACAATGCATCACATTGAATTAGACCAACTGGAAAATTCCAGATTTATTTATATTTGTCTTTCATACAAAACTCTGGATTTAGCCAAGTTAACATCAGCCAACATTTAGGAAACCATCCATATGAACCCACTTACACAGCCACACTCGAACATCACATGACTGCTTGGACACCCAAAAAAAAAATTAATAAAAAATAAAACTGTACTCAGAGATCCATTTTCAGTTGCTAATTAACATATCATTATAGAACTAGGAAATCATTTTAACATATCTCTGGGTTGGAGCACAATGTGAAAAAAAAATGGGTAGGGGCTGTATAAGTTATTATTTTTAGCCAAATCACTGGAGCAATTTCAGTTTCAGTGTCTGTACTTTCGGGGAAAGCTTGGTTGAGTCCAGGTCCATCAGGATTTTCTGGTACACCTCAAAATGTACACTTCAGGCTTTTAGGGTAGTTGAAATTGAGTGCGTAGATCAGGCCATATAACATAACCCATGCATGAGTGACATTCTGCAGGTTGTGGAGAACCTCCACACCTTCCAGCACAACACGGACATCAGTGAAGCGTCCATCACCGACATCATGATCCTCTGATTGTACTTTGTAGATGCCCATGGTGTTTCCTGCCATGTCTTCCTCTGCCTCTCTGGATTCAATGTCCTGGAATGTATAAACACACACTTATAATATTACACACACACGCATGCACGCACACATACGTAGATCTTTTCTTTAAAGCAGACAGCATATATGCATTCATGAGAACGGAATGGATGCAAGTTCAGGATAATGACCTTAAGACCTGATCACCCCCTAAAAGCCTGGAAAAATAAAAGTCACAAGGCTGTGGATAATAAGTTAACAACAACACAATGCATTTTTATCTCCAGTTGTGCAATTTCCTATTAATGTAACAACAACAACAATATAATATCTGAAAATTATACAAGTATTAGTCTTGTTCTCACTTGATTATGGGTCAACCCTTCACTTGGGGTGAGGTTTTTTATTTTAGAACGGAGGGATTTCCGGGGAGACTGCAGAGATTTTTCTTCCAATGAAGCCATTAACCTGCCACAAAAAAAATGCAGTTAAAAAAAGTTAACTAAAAATGGAGACGCTTCTCATGAATGCTGTGCACCTTTCTGCCAATGTAACAATTTATAATCTGACAATCAAGTCAGGATGAGTGTAGTATGTCCATCAAGCCTGAAACTTAAAGGGATAGTTCACCCAAAAATAAAATTTTTACTCACCCTCGTGTTGTTCCAAATCCATATCAGCTCTGTTTATCTTCAGAACACAAATTAAGATATTTTGGATCTGATCCTCTCATAGACACCACTGAAAGTGCACATTCAAATTACACAAACCTACTAAAAACATAGTTAATGTAGTCCATGTGACATGGGTCACTCAATTTTAACATGATAAAGCAACAAGAATACTTTTTGGCTGAAAAAATTATAAAAATAAAGACTTTATGTTTGTGGACTTTAAATGTGCATTTTCAGTGATGTCTATGGGAGGATCAGAAAGCTCTCAGATTAAATCCAAAATATCTTAATTTGTGTTCCAAAGATGAATGGAGGTGATACAGGTTTGGAACAACACGAAGGTGAGTAATTGATGACAAACTTTTCATTTTTGGGTGAACTATCCCTTTAAGAGTTCCATCCTGATGAAGCGGTTTCTTCCAATGAAATTACTCTAATAAACCGCAGGTGCACCATGACGTCACTTACTGCTTCAAAGCTCCTATCATTACATAAAACGATAGAGTTTACTCCACATCCATTAGCCCCAACAGTAAAAAGATCCATGCTTTTAATTGTACTGCTTTATTTACCTTTTGACATTGGGCTTTGGCTTCACTGTCTGCCTCAGATCCTCCACTACCTTTTGAGAGAGAGAGAGAGAGAGAGAGAGAGAGAGAGAGAGAGAGAGAGAGAGAGGGAGAGAGAGCGCGGGCGAGACAAAGAAGAATAATTATCTCCTTGTTTTTCTGTATAGACAGCAACCATAATTATACTAAAAGGTGTGCTAATGGATGAAGACAGAAATTACAATATTTTGTAAACTACATTGTTAAAAAAAATACAAGAACCCACCAAAATCTAATTTTATATATTTTTAAAATCTATGTTACACCTGTAAGATAACAAGTGAATACAAAAGAAAGAAAGGAGAAGGAGAGAAGGACCGTACAGTGGGGGACAACAGTGAAAGAGCAGGAGGAAGAGAAAAAGAGACTAAGAGGAGAGTAGGGTGGAGACTGAGGTAGGGAGAGGGCAAATGAAATGGAAAACAGCTGATTAGTCCTTTACCTTTACTAAAATGTCCACATACTTGCCATATCTTCAGAGACGACAAGAAGGCTTCCTTGTGCGTGATGTTCTCAAGGCGCTTGAGTTCGTAAGCAGACAGTCCAGAACATGCATCCTGATGATACAAGGCACTTCTTAATAAACATTTCCAAAATCATATCAATGCAGTAAAATCATTTCAGTTTCATGAGCACTGGGAAATGTCTGTGTCATCACCTTGTTGTTTAGGCGAGGATTGTTGTTTCTGGCGGAGAAGGGGCATGTGGGTGCCAGAACCCAGACAACTTCATCTTCAGGTTCCTCTGGACCAAGCGGATTTAATTCCCTCAGAGTGACAGCTCTACCACCATTTACCTTGCATGATTTTTTTTATTCAAAACAACCCAATGGACTCAATGTTGAAATACTGGTGGTCAATGTGTCCTAATGTCCATTCCATTCTCATGAACAATCCATATTATCTAGATGGAAAAATTACTGGCACACTATTCTGATACATACCACATATTCTTTAACAAGTGTGTCCAGGTCTTCATTGAGGTAGATGCTCAGACAGCTCATCACACAATCTCGCCTCACATTGACATCTTCATTCTGTTAAAAGCCAACAGATTCAAAAACATTTCTCTTCTTGACCACACCAATCACCTTGTTTTACACTGCAAAAACTAACAATCTTATAAAGTTTATTTGTAATGGAAACTCATTTTCAGGCTCCTTAAAATAAGATGATTGTTACATCTTTCTATCAAGCAAGTAAACTCCCATTGATTTCAGTTAATTTTAATTGTTGTTTAATTTTATTATTCTATATACAAGGCTTTACAGTATAAAAAGGCTAAAAGCAAGTTTCGATAACACTGATATTGTTTTATATAAATTTTAATCAATTTCAGCATTATATTGAAAATCTATTTTATATTACATTGACTGAACATTAATTAAAAGTTCATCTAATATGTAATACATGTTAACGTGTAGATCTTTTAACTTATACTTACAAAAATCTATGTTTCCACGTGGAGGTGAGAACACAGCGAGAGGAAAACTAAGAAAATACCACCAGTTACGTTTCTGGAAAAAAGAAAGTAAGAATAAAATAAGTGGTGTCATTCAGTTCTGTAATCTAACCAGCCGTAAAACAGCAAACATTAGCTTACATATTACAGTGACAATTCTTGACTTCAAATTCGATTCTCTTTATTTTCACAAACATAAAAACCGACAGCAATGGGTTAATTTGATTAATTGATGCATTTTAAAGTTGTTTGGCTAAGCTTACTGAAGTTATGATTCTAACGGGCATCTGTATTCTCCTGTAAACCAATGTACAATAAAACTGTTTAAAAAAATCACAAACTACATAAAACTTACCATAAATGGATTAATATTATATACACTTGATGCTAAATAAAAAAAATAATTAGAACAGGAGCCATACAACAAAGGATGTTTCGGATTACTTACCAACATGTGTGTGACGGATTCCCACAATATCCCGAGGGCTTGTGTCCAGGGAAAGTGATGTCATTTCCTGTTTCCAAATTGATTTTTTTCATAACTTTGATGAAAACCAATCACATAAACTTTAAATAACAGAATCTTGTTTGTTTTATAACTCTTATTATTCAAACAATGTTAGTATTTATTAACTAAATACATTAAATAAATTGCATAATTGATTAAATCTTTTAGAGTATATTTACTTTTAATGTATAGATTTTAAAAATATTCGTTTTTAAATAAAGTCAAATAGATGTAAATGCATAAAAACTAACTCTGCCATGAATCATTTCTGTGACTACATTAATGAAAGATCTGAATTTAGTGGATGTATGGAGGAAAGAGCATCCACAAGAAAGAGACTACTTTCTTTATTCGCATCCCTATAATACACACACTCATATAGATTATTTCTTGTTGCCCTCTCAACTTCTATACAGAGTGCTAGATGTTGAATATCTCCCTCGATTACTGAGTGATCATTCTCCCCTTGTAATGTCACTGTCCATTCCAGAAAAAATAAAAGGAACTTACAGGTGGAGACTAAACCCTACTTTTTTTAAACAACCTGAATTTCATAAATTTATAAGGGAACAAATTGATATTTTTACAGCAACAAATAAACCCTCATGCTCTAATAGTTTTATATTATGGGACACTTTAAAAGCTTATCTTAGAGGTCAAATAATTTCCTACACTAAGGGGCTGTTAAAAAACAAAAACTCAAAATTAAGTACTTTAGAAGTTGAAATACTAGCACTTGAAAAATTGTACCACAAGTCGCAAACAAAGGATATTTATAAAGAATTACTAAACAAAAAGATTGAATACAATAAATTGAACACCTACCAAGCAGAGAAGGCTATTATCTGCTCTAATCAACGTTATTACAAACTCGGTGAGAAAGCTCAGAAAGTCTTGGCCTGGCAATTAAAACGAGAGGAACAGAAACGAAAAATAAATGTTATTAAAACTGGTAACAAGGAAACATGCAACCCGGTAGAAATTAATGATGTATTTGAGCAATATTACACAGAATTATATACCTCTCAATCATGTATAGATCAGTTACAAATGAAAGCTTTTCTCTCCTCAGTCCATTTACCATATCTCTCAGAGGAAGACAGATCTAGTCTGGATCAGCCTTTTTCTACTTCTGAACTGATTGAAGCTATTAATCTATTGTCTAATGATAAATCACCAGGTGAAGATGGTTTTCCATCAGAATTCTGTTAAGAGTTTAAAGATTTGCTTGTGCCATATTTAATGAATGTTCTTAATCAGGCTAAAGTGGAAAAAAGTTTTCCAGAGTCCTTTTCAAATGCTACAATTTCAGTAATACTCAAAAAAGGCAAGGATCTAAATAACTGTGCCTCCTACAGGCCAATCTCACTCCTCAATGTAGATTGTAAAATAGTCACTAAAATGGTAGCTAAAAGATTAGAAACTCGACTTCCTCAATTGATTAATCCAGATCAAACCGGGTTTGTGGTTGGTAGATTAGGCGCAAATAATCTGAGGGGATTTTTTAACATTATTCAAACTGCTAAAGAAAAACATATACCATGGATAGCCGTCTCTCTCGATGCCGAAAAGGCTTTTGACCAAGTTGAGTGATCATACTTATTTGGAGTACTAAAAAAATTTGGATTTGGAAATGTATACATAGAGCTAATTCAATCACTTTATAAATCGCCAAAAGCTAAAATTATTACAAATGGTATTATTTCTTCTGCAATACCTTTGTATAGAGGATGTAGACAAGGTTGCCCCATCAGCCCAGCTCTCTTTGCCCTTGCGATTGAACCTCTAGCTGAGGGTATTAGATGTAACTCCAATATAAAAGGGTTTAAAGCTGGCCCTGAAATACAAAAAATATCTTTGTTCGCCGATGATATTCTTTTGTTTCTTACTGACCCTATAAACTCCCTATCTAATTTACAGAATGTATTACAGTCATATAGTACTTTTTCTGGATATAAAATTAACATTGATAAAAGTGAAATTTTGCCATTAGCAGGTTTTGATTATACTTCATTAAATACTTTTTCTTATAAATGCTCACCTGCTGGCATTATTTGGGTATACATGTAGATGGCAACCTAAAAAATCTCTATAACCTTAATTTGGCTAATCTTTTAGAAAAAACTGGCAGAGACTTAACAAATTGGATGGATTTATCACTCACATTATTTGGTAGAATTAATGCAGTTAAAATGAATGTTTTGCCCAAGTTCTTATATGTATTTCACTCTCTTCCAATATCAATACCTAAATCCTTTTTCACCTCTCTTAACGCACTAATAAGATCATTTATCTGGCATCGGAAAACCCCAAGGGTTGGTCTTGACAAACTGGCTTTAGACTACAGCAAAGGAGGACTTGGACTCCCCAATTTTAAGATGTATTATTGGGCAGCCCAATCCAGGTATCTGGCACAGATGTTCGCACAAACCCCCTTCCCGACATGGCTTAATATGGAGACATTTGTGGTCCCTTTTTATGGTGGGTATATCCCTTATTTTCACATCCCAATGTTGACAGGTATGTCAGTTTGGTAGATCAGAAGTGAAGCATTCAGAAAATAAGTGAGTCTTAAGTAAGGAATTGAATTCAGAGATATTACTTGCAGAGCGGAGTGAGCATGGTAGAGAGTTCCAGAGTTTGGGTGCAAGAACACTAAATGATCTGCTCCCCATTGAAGAGAGGTGGTACCAAGGGACAGTGTGAAGGCCAGAGCCAGCGGAACGTAATGAACGAGTTGGGGTGTAGGGGACAAGCATGTTGCAGAGATAGGAGGGTGCTAGGCTATTTAGGGATCTAAATGCAAGGAGAAGAATGAAATGAATGCTTTTCTTGTTTTTTTTTTAATCCGATTAATCGGAAAAATAATCGACAGATTAATTGATTATTAAAATAATCGTTAGTTGCAGCCCTAATATATATATATATATATATATATACATTTGAATATGAGGATCACACTCTTATTTGAATGCTTTGTAAGGATCCAAAATATCAGACCCTGAGAACTCTTATGGAAGCTCATGAGGCAAGACCATAAGAATTGCTATGCAATACTACAATGGACTTTCTGATCTGAGAAGTGATGAAGAAACCAACTGTTCCACTGTTCTATCTCCGAAAAGAGATGAGACCATAATGGAATGGAATGGAATTTATGGCTAAGACCATAAATGGAAAATTTAAATAGTTCCATCTACTTTAATATAATTTGTGTAAAGGCAACGACAAAGCCGTTTCTCTCTGCATTTATCTCACCATTCAGGTGGATTACTGCCTAAATCTGCCTGTATCTAGACAGGACACACAGCTTGATATGAGATGGGTGATAAAGGTATTTAAAGAGGCCAATCTCACCCCAAACCACAAACACATTAACACATGTCTCTCTACATGGCCTCCCAGTATACTGCTGGTGTCAGGGTTCTGCCACTTTGGTCTTGAAAATTCTTGTTTTGGTGGCAGAGCTCTGACACTTCTCATGTCTGGTCCTGTTTCTGTCTCTGTGTGAGCGCGCGCCGTCGTGGGTGTAGTAGAGTGTGCGCGCTCCTGCTTGACGCGGCCGCGCGCGCGCTCTGCGTCCCTCAGACGCGTGCGCTCTTGTACTCGTGTTTGTGTTTTCGTCTGTCAGCAGCATGGTGTTTCATTCCCAGCGTCTCAGTCTTGTTGGTTTCGGTTTTGGTCGGCGCTGGGATGAAACATGCATGCTGCATATGTGAGCGCATGGTGAGTGTTTTCATTCATCGTGTGCTCGTGTCTTGCGTCTTTTGTCAAAGCACATGGCTCGGTGTTTACATTGGTCACGTGCTTTTGTCATGTGCTTCAGTGTTGTGTTATGTGAGCGCATGGCTTGTATTGTCTCTCTGTGTCATGCGCTCTCCCGTCTATTGTCTAGTCCCACCCTCCTTGTTAACCCATATTTAGTTAATTGTGTTCACCTGTGTTTCAATTTACCTTTTTGCTTTATAATCCCCCTCATGTTTTCAGTCCTTTGTCAGTTCGTCGTCGAAAGTTTCCTGTCCTGTTGTGTCTAGCCCTGTCTTGTCCAGCCAGTCAAGTTTGTTTGTTCATTTATTTGTTTTATTAGAGTTTTTCCCCCTCGGGGTTGTTTGTTTTGCCTTTTTGTTTTCATTTTATAATTAATAAAAAACCCATTATTGCTGCACCTGAGTCCTCGCTCCTTTTTCCCCTCACCAACCCTGACAGCTGGATCCAAATTTTGCAACACAGATTGTGATTAAACCTCACCCATCTCATGCACACAAACACACGCAACATACATTACTGCAACCTCACAGTATTTTTTTTAACTGGTATATGTCGACTATCCAGGTTAAAAATGATTTATATCATTCAAATCTAACATACATTATTCAGCTCATACATATAGGACAAAGTGGAAATATTACTTAAATATCAATTGTGATAAACAATTTTGTGAATTTATGTTTTTTCAAAGTGCTGTGTATTAATGTAGTAATGTACAGAAGACTTGTGCATGGCTGCAGTCACATATCAAACTATTTCACTTGTATTTCACTAGTCCCTTTGGGCAAAATGTTTAATTCATTCATCTTCATTCATTAGCCTTGTTGCAAAATAGTAGGGCCCACTATTTTCCAACAATGACTATTGAAACCTCAAAATTGATAAAAACAACTAAATCTAAAAATGCAGGCACTAGCAATTTCACCAAATTCTTTATTATACCTGCATTATTGAATGTGACTTTAGCCTGCACATTAAATACAGGAATGAGAGAAGTTTACCTGAAGATGTTAAATTTTACTTTGTCTGAATTTTCATTCTTCAGTTGATCTGGTTAAACCTTAAGGGCGCAAGGGCGCAAACGCTTTCAGGACGTGTCAGGACGCGTTTTTGCTAATTTAAGGACGGGAAATCTGCCTTGCGCCATGGCGCATGGTCTAAAAGGGTTGAGTTTTTTTTCTTAATGAGTTATAGATGTGTTTTGAGAATAAACTAATTAGAGTCTCATCTCCCATTCCCTTTAAGACCCAGCTGCATCGCGCCAAGAGTGCATTCGCTATTTACAGGACGCAAAGTAAGTCTAAGTGGAAAAAATGAGCATTTCACAAGCAAACAGTTAGCAGTTTTTTAACAGAAAACTGTTAAACAGAGCACCTACTGCATGAGAATGAGAGATAATGGAACTACTTTCACATTCGCTCTTGGATAGGGAAACCTTTACCCACAGACATCAATTAGCCTATAAATAATTAATTTAGTTTGTTAAACGAAAAGATTTGTTTCAAAACTATTTCTAAATTCAGTTCTAATTTCCAGCAAACGAATAAATGATTAATAATAACAAAGTTTGGTCAAAATACTGAGTTATTTCCAAATACACCTGCTGTGCCCCATATGGTCTAAAACCTGACAGGTGGACAAATCTAAGCTTGTTTTTAATGAAACAAATATAAATATGGATATAATAAATAATACTGCTAATAGTAATAACATTATACAAAAGTAACTTGAATGAACTGAAAAAGCTTCCCGAGATAAAGAAAGTATGAAGGCAGTGGTTTTTAAATTAATGTAGGCTAGAAATTAATATGTTTTGTAACATTTTAATCATTTATATTTATATCATATATATATATATACTTAATATATTATATCTTTTTCATATGTAAAGATATTTACGTATTGCTCTGCATCTTGTTTGTAGTGTGTAAGCCAGACGCACTTTGCGGCAGACAATAGACTGACTTTGTTCTGGTCTAAAGATCAGACTATTTACAGTTTCTCAAAATAGCAACGCGCCAAAACACGCCTGCTTTTTTAGACCAGAACGCCTATGGGCGCACATTTAAGCGCAAATGCATTTGCTATTTAAATCAGCGTGGCGCAATGCCTCAAAATGACCCTTGCGCCAAGCTTAAAGTATGAAAGACTATTGCGCTGCGCCTTGCGCCCCATTGCCCCAGGTGTATGATAGGGCCCCAAGTCTGCATCAATGTTTTTCAATTGAACCATTTATATCAACAATTTTATGATTTTAATTGTAAATTGTGTATTTTTATTATTGATGTTTTATATATTTTTATTATGCATACCACTGGTAAAAATACTGGTTATATTGGCTTTACACCTGTCCTGCAATTTACTCATTTCAAATATTTTTAAATTATATTGCCATCATGGGAGTGAAGCATCTGGGGATTTACTACTATTAAATTTAGGACTTATTAAGATCTTATTTACCTCTCACACTTTGAACATGGTTATTGTGTTTTGTGTTTACCCATTCCACAGTGAAGCAAAGGTCATTGATATTCAACTATTGCATGGTCATTCAAATGTTATCCAGCTGTAACCTATACAGTAGAGCATCATCAGTGACATTGTTCCTTAACCTGAAAAATATGAACTGCCCTGTGAACCTCACCTTATGTCTGATGCTAACAAAGGTTTTTCCACTGGAACAGATACTAACCTGGGGAGGATCGAATGCACATGGATGTTTCTCAAAGTGCAATGAGACTTGCAACATGTTTGATTAATGCACTGAACTTTGTCATCCTATGGACTGAATACCCCCTTAAATGGACACAAATGCGACGAAGCTGATGGCAGAAATGCCTGAGCAGCCACTTGAGCCCAAGCTCAACGCCATATGTCTACAACTAAAGAGACTGTGGGGTTCAGCAACATAACTCCATTTTAATGTTGAAGCTGCTTTGTGATTTCAGGTGATGACATCGTTACTACAACGCTACACTACAACTACCAACGGTCGCCAAAGCCATCTAAATGATCTTGTGTTCCCTTAGAGACTGCTTAGAATTGCTCCAAGGGACCAGGAGGGGACTGTAAGGATCCAAAATATCAGACCCTGAGAACTCTAATGGAACATGAGGCAAGACCATAAGAATTGCTATGCAATGCTACAATGGACTTTCTGATCTGAGAAGTGATGAAGAAACCAACTGTTCCACTGTTCTATTCAAATCACTGTTGACAATGCAAACACAGGCTGGAGAAACAGAGCTACACTATACAGCAGGGAAGAATGCAGGAATGCATCCTTTACTTTCACCCCAAGCCCCCCTTCTTGACCTTTAAGCGACTTGCTGATCAGAGCACATTTCACATAAAATGTTCAAGGTTTTAACATGGTGTATCTTCCAGCACTATATTCATGTTTGGTATCATTTTAAATGTCTCTGTGTGATTGGTAAAGTGGTCTTAATTTTACAGTAATATTTCACTGATAAATCTTGATTTGGTTTTCGACTTCTATAAGATCTTGACAAGATGCTCTCCCTCCTCAGAGATGGTTAAGTTCTCAAATTCACCAGGCCAGGGTTTCTGTGACACTTATATTTTCTTGAATCTATGGCTGTTTGTTTTGCCCTGAGTATATAAGGTAAGATGTGCTTTAGGACGGGCGGGGGTTGGGGGGGTTGGGGGGGAGATCTTGTAAAAAGACACCCCATTGCAGCATCTCTGAGACTTATGCTGCAATGTATTTCTCTGGTCAGGTATGCATCTCTAACTCTTTGATTTATCTTTGATTAATGGATGTTGTATTGTTACAGTCTCATCTCTGAATTGGCTTCCTGATGATTTATTATGTAATTGGCAGAATACAATTTTACCTGACAAATAAAATGTTAAGTTTAGATTAATTCTGGAGTTTTGCGATTTCAATGTATCCAGTAGATTATGAGGAGTCTTCATTACCTTTATAGTCTGGCTCAACTGAATTGATTAATTGGCACATTTGATTATACGTAGCCATGGAGAGCCTATAACATGTAGACCTTTTAATCATTTAACCACTGGAAGTAGCAAGTTGTATGGGCTTGGCTAAGGATCTGTTTTTTTAAGAATAGGTAAGCGTTAATGCGACCAGCTTATTCAAATATAGTTAATCCTGCATCCTCTGACTATTTTCAGAGTGTCGACATATTGTCCGTGAGAAGAAGCGCAAACCCGGGGCGTGGAACTCTGAGCGATGTTGGTCCCTAATGAACGTACAATTAGAATATCGGACCTCAGAAGATATCAAAACTCTAAATTAAATCATAAATAATGAATGTGATCCGTTTTTACAATTAAAAATATAATCTAAATTTTAGGATAATTTAAATTGGAGTGAGATTGAATTCGGAGCTAAAAAACTAATATAAATAAATTCTAATAAATAATAAAATTATTTTCAGAAGCACTAGAAAAGGCTTACATGCATTAAACCTTCGACCATGCTGTTAGTTTCGTCATTGGCTAATAGATGCACTTCTACAGCTTCTATCAATAAAATAAAACACTTAATCCAATTTTAATATGTATATTATGTTTATACCTTACACAACATTTTATGCTCTGTTGCTTTCTCTGTATTAAAAAAAGTTAAATAATAATGATAAAGATGGCTGGATCCAGAACATATTTCAATTTGGCTTCTATCATTTAGGCAATTAGTTCACACAGTTTATGTGTTAATACAATTGGTCTGTATCTTGCCAATAAGCTCTCCCAGACTTTACATTTGAAATACTTATGTCATGCATGATCATACATATCATACAAACAGAGGGAGGCTATCCAGATTTCCACACTGTATTAAAAAAGATATAACTAATGATTTATCTGATAAATATCTAATCTTTTTATCACACATTTTGTCTTCACTCTCAGGTGAACGAGGCACAGGTGAAAACAACAAGCTGATTGATGAGCAGATGTGATTGGTCTGTCAGTGTCAAAAGTGACTACAAAATGTCCAGTGTGTCTCAATAACCTTTATAATCTTTAGAGTTAAAGATATATAAGGAAAGTGTGAAGAGAAACAGTTTTTAGGTTTCATTGGGGAGCTACAGTAGACTTACCATGCCTTGGCCAAAGGGCATTTTACTTTTCATGATGGCTGTGATGTCATTCGGTTCTTTAATTGCTGGTCCAGAGGCCTTTTCTGATTCTGGTGCAAATCGAGCAGTCTCTGGAGACACAATCCATTTTGGCAAACTTTTAATTGGTGGTCAAAGTGTTGAACCTAATAATAAAAAAGACAAATCCAGACCTGCTTCAGCTGAACAAACAATTGAGGATGGTAAGTATTATTTTAATGGGGGCTCACTCTACTTTTAAATATGGTAAATAACATCACCTTTGATTGTGTTTTTAAGAACGGTTCCGGCTGGCAAGAGCTAAACTGCAACGACTGGGTCCTTCTCTACAGTGTGGGAATGATTCAATGACCTTAAATATTAAAGGACACAGAACACCACACTTTCTGGTTGAGAGAGGCAAGTTGTGTGAATGGGATTGTGTATGTTTGTTTCCACCCCTCAATCTAAATTCTCGAATTCCCCTGCATCAGGAGAGGGTTCACCAGTGTCTTTGTCTGAGATGCCAGCCAGCTGTGGGTTCTCACTGAAGCGGGTACGCAGGGATGTTTCTCTTGTTGCTCCATACACTGGTTGTAACGTCAGACAACAGGTTAGTGTGAATGTTAAATCTGACAGGTTTGTCTCAAATCATTATACCTTGAATAACCTCATTCACCTCTAATAGGGTGGTAGTTATGTTCTGCCACTCATTATAATGGGGGCTCCAGTGCAAATGTCCTGCCCTGTGAGTCCTCGCCTTCCTGTGGTGTCCTGCACCTCCTCTGGTATGATTGTTTCATTTGGTGTCAGTGGAGATGATGTTCTTGTTAAAGGTAAGCTGCTTTCATTCTGTTTCAATAAAGTTGGTATTTATTTACCATTAACTATGTTCTGCTTTAGTTTCTGGATCATGGATGCCTTTGTCTTTGACATCCTCCATGTGCTCATTTACTCTGGATAATGTTGGTGGCTCAATGGTTTTGACAGCACCGTTTACAGGAAGCTGTTGGGATAGTCAGGTAAGTGTGGGCAGTAAAATTCTAATTAAATCTGAGCAAAAGTTCTGTGCAGTTGACTTTTGCCGTTGTTTTCAGGACACTGACTGGAACTTGACTTTGCTGTTGGGAGACCGAGAAGTGGTTCTTTCCTGTCCGAAGGCAACAGACTCCACACCGACTGTTCCCCCAACACCATTTCCTCTAGGGTATCCATATTTCCCATTTGGATACCCCTGGTGGTACCCTTGGAACCAGGCTCCTCCTGTTGCACCCCCCACAACTCCTGCTCCAGTTCAAGCCCCTGTTTACAGTCCATTTCCAATGTATTACCCTTATTACTTTGGAGGTTTCCCTCACCGACGAAGGCACCATCATCGGCACCATCATCGGCACTGGTACCCTGAGTCTCAAGAGTCCTGGTACCCTGAGTCTCAAGAGTCCTGGTACCCAATGTTGCCTCCTAATGAATTTGCACCATTCCAACCACCACCCACCCCAGCTGCCCCCCAGATTCCACAGTATCCAGTTTTTCCAATGCCATTTAACCCAGTGAACACTGGTTTTAAAAACCCCTTCCGGCCTCCGGTACCTCAGTCAGTCTCTAATCCTCAAAGTCTTAATTCTCCTTGGAACATCTGGGCTCGCAAACAGAAGAGATGAACAAAGAGGTCCTCTGCTGTGAGATTTAACTGTGGTAAGAGTCATGCTAGCCTAATAAAGACTTTTAAAACAATTTTGTTTCTTGGCTCTCCCTTTTAGACTGGTAATTCTTTGGTTTGTCTCCTGAATTCATTTGTAGAAACTTGACTGATGCATTGCACTTGGAATTATGAAGTGTTTTATTTATTGAATGAATAACTCAGTTTTTTTTTTTTTTTTTTTCCCCTCCAACATCTTGGCGTTTTGGATTCTCTTAATATTAGACTTTAGTGATGTATAACCATAGCGTGTGTATTGCTCAAAGTGAACATATGCTATCCCCAAACTAGAAGAGCTGTCAGTCTTTAACTTTTTTTTTTTTTTTTTTTTTTTTTTTTTTTTTTTTTTTTTTTTTTTTTTTTTTTTTTTTTTGGGTCTTGAAAACTGAAGAGATGAATAAAGTTACTCTGCTTTGACCTAAGCCGTTTCAGGTCAATTTTAATCCTAAGAGGAAATTCTAATGTTTTCCTGGCTTTTAATTGCATTATTACTGCCTCTGCATCATGAGGTTTTGCAACGTGTCTAGCACTGCTCGAATGGTTAAGCTAAACCATTTAATCCACATATTGCAAATCAACTTTTCCTTTCGAAAGTGGGAAGTGCCTCTGGTGATTTGAAAGAGAAAAATTTGTGATTTATAGAATTTAACAGCTTGTGCACTGAACAACCTTATTTGAGTACTTTTGCCTAGACCGTTATTGTAAATTTGTCTGACTATGTACATGGTCATAATCCTTTCCAAATATATGTCAGTGCATTTATATTTTGCCTCTGTATAAAAGTAATTATACTCGGATGCTTTCTTTCATGAACCACTTTTTTTTTTTTTTTTTTCATTTTGATATAGGCCCCAAGAAATTAGATTCTTAAACTCTTGACTTTTAGTCTTAGACTATTTGAAATCATGACAAAGTGTTTATCAATCTGATTCAAGGGGTTATTTATTTTTTTTGGAATTCGTCTAAGTATGTTGTGTACTTCTACGAGACAGAATTTTAAACATTATGTGAGCATACATATTTGGAGCAATCCTTTTTCTTTTACATTTTGTATTTGTTGGCAAACAAGCTTTAGTTGCATATACCAAGACCTAGATTTTGAAGTGTCACTGACTACGTTTACATAGACAACAATAATTCAATTTTGATGCAATTAAGACAATACTCTGATTAAGAGTTAACCTTGTAAACAGTGAGTTTTGATTAATCAGATTAAGGTCATAATCGAACTAAAGAGAAATCGAATTAAGGGGTGCGGAGTATGCCGAATTTAGTTGCATTATTGAAGTGCAGTACAGACATGTAAACACCTTAATTGATTTATTACCATCATGTAGGGCTTTTCGCAGTGTTTTGCGACAAGATAGTCCACACACACGCGCACACATACACACACACAAGCGGCTGTTTGACACTCTTTGGACCTACCCAGTCAGTGCAGACCACAGACACCTGCATTGTGAAATGTGGAGGTTTTTTTTCTTCCATTCAGCATGCGGCATGATCTTCCATTAAAACACTCTTCCGGCAGTTCATAGTTGCATCCAATATCTCTCGTCACGGAGGGTGTGCATGAAATGTTCGTGAATGAAAGTGAAAGTGCCAAACCGCAGTTAAAATCAACAAATAAAAAATGAAACACCCAAAATTACAGGAAACTTGGATAGCGCTGTGACGCAATGACAATAATCAAATTATCTGCTATAACATGTAAAAGAGGATCTTGAAATTTACACTCAAAAAGTTACTCATGTAAACATCTTAGAGTTATTATTCTTTTAATTAGATTAAAGCAAATAATTTGATTACTGGTGTCCATGTAAACATAGTCCGTGTTAAAGGGCCATGAAACCTGCTCAGCAGGGTGTTTTCACACAGTTTGAAAAAAGTCAGAAAAGTGGGTCCAGCTGTTTAGGTAGGAGTGTTGAGTGGAGAAATAGTGAAGGGTTTGCATGAAAAGTGGAGTTTCAGTTTGAGCTTGCGTTGATTTTCACTGAGCAAAAACAACACAAAGACATACGGGAGATGGACAGACTATGTTTACATGTACCTCAGTAATCAAACTATTTGCCAAATTATTAATTTGTTGACTTTAACTGCAGTTTGACACTTCTATTCAGGAACATTTTAAGCATGCACTCCGTGACATATTGGAAGCGGGGAACAGCTGGAACAGTGTAGTTTTAATGGAATGTTTGATATCGCTAGCAGTATGGGAGGGAAAAAAAACTGCATTTCTTGTTACCTCAGATGCACTCGGTAGGTGCAGAGAATATTATCAATAAGCCGTTTGTGTATAGACTATCCCGTCACAAAATGAGGCAAAAATCCTACACAACAGTTATAGTTTGATTAAAGTGTTTACATGTTTACACTCGGAGAGCAGCAATTACAGCGGATCTTTCATAATATTTTAGTGATATTAACGTCCTGTAAACTTTAATATCTGACAACCTCTGAATAAATGAATCAATGAATACTAATCACACACTTACCAAATCTGTAGAGACAGGACAATCAACACCAACTGGAACCGCATCATTTTTTAAAAGCAGACAAGTGGCAAATTCGGGTTTCCCCATTTCTAGAAGCGAAAAGCTCTTGGGTAAAAAATGTTTCTTACAAATGTAGTTTTTCGCATGTTAGCAGACCACTGTAATTCACACATGAGTCTAGCTGCGCTCTCATAACAGGGAATTAAAAAAAACCGAATCCTTCTTTGCAGCACATTTATAAACGCAACACTGACGACCCGTGTATCCAAACAATTCTTTTTCCACTTGCTTTAATTACGGTTGGCAACACAATGTGGCGTCTCTCTTTCATCTGAACATATTGATGAAGTTGCATCTCATTCACAATAGAGGTTGCTAATTGGTTCAAATCAAGTCAGAATCAAAATACTTAAATTCTTTTATATACAGAAATGTGTAATTTTTTTCTAAAATGCTCCATCTGCATATAAAGACTTTGGTCCAACTCACTGGTCCAACGGTATTAAACAATCACTGGTCCAACGGTATTAAACTGAAGGTTACAAGGTTGTGCGTCAAGTTTCGCAGATCTCTGCATTGGAAAGTTCAAGCTTGGTGAACTCTGACCAGCAAAATTACATCACTTGACTGCGAGAGACCAATCGGAGATCAAAACATGACATGAATTTAAAATATGAAGCACTTGCTTGCTTTTTAAAATTCCGCCCCTTTTCACAGCGCTGAACGACAGAATTTTACAAACTCAAACTCTAGCGTGACCGCAGCTTTACACATTTTGGCTACATTCGAAACCGCCTTCTCAATGAGTAGGTACTCAATTTCAACAGGCACCTACTTAACAGTTATATTTGGGTATGCACACATCAACATAGCATCATTTTTGTGACACTGTACAACAATAACTATTCTTGTGTTACTGTGAGGGCTAAGTTTAGCATTGTGTTAGATGTTAATAAAATTTAATGAGTAATTTAAAACCTCTCTAAAATACTTAGTAAAAGTTTGTTTCAGCAGCTTTGTGAACAGAAAAAAAACTCTTAGCTAAAAACTTTTGCTCTTTTGCAGATATTTTAAAGACTTGAACAATGTTTATTTACTCTTGAAATCAGCAATATGTTCTCCTGCACCAACTGAGAGATTGAATAATAAAACACCAACTATTAAACTTACCATAATTCATTTTTAATAGTCAAAAGCAGTTCTCAATGATAAAATATACATTATATTTTTAAAAACAGTAATAAGCAATTTTAATCTCTCTCTCTCTCTCTCTCTCTCTCTCTCTCTCTCTCTGTTTGTATGTACATTATTGATCTGTTATATCAACTTACTCCTGTTTGTTCTAAGAAGCCTGTGAATCCTGTTTTTTGTTACAATCTGTACTACAATAAATAAAGTAAATATTACAATTTATTATAACTTACGGAGTCCTTTTATTGAAGGAACCGATGCCTGTGTCACAGTCACTGCTTAGAAGAAGACAGTTTTAAGCCAGTTAGTTTCGATATGACATATACTGTATGTAACTTTTATAAACGTGCCTAAAACATTATTGGTGTCCACATTGAGACAAAGCAAAACAAGTTTCTCTCATTTAAAACATTTCAAAATTACATTTTAGTCTGGTACTATTCTTACGCCTTGACTGTGAAAAATGTTCTGCATTTTGAGTAAATTCAGCCTTGCTTTAATGCAAAGTTAGTGTCCTGCACCTCTCTGGTATGAACGTCTCACTTGGTATCAGAGCAGATGATGTTCTTGTTAAGGGTAAGTTGCTTTAAATCTTTGTATTAACCGAGTTGAGGATTTTTCTATTTTTCTGAGGATTTTTTCTTTTTTTTGACTTGTGGTTTTCTTGTTATCTCTGGATCATGGATTGCGCTGCCTTTGACATCCTCCATGTGCTCATTTACCCTGGATAATGTTGGTGGCTCAGTGTTGTTTACTGCACCATTTACAGGAAGCTGCTAGGAGAATCAGGTAAGCATTGGCAGTGAATTTCTAGTGTATTAAAAGAAATGGTTGTGCAGTTGACTGTTGACCTCTTCCTCCAGGATACTGAGTGTAACTTGAGGTTAATGTTTGGGGACCGAGAAGTGATTCTTTCCTGCCTAATGGTATCAGCACCAACCATTCCTCCAGCTCCACCTACCGCACCCATTCCACAAGGGTATCCAGTTTTCCCCTATGAAGTGATCTGGTGGAATTCTTATTTGAACCAGGCTACTCCCACTGTGCCACCCACTACAATTGCTGCTCCTGTAGTTCCAAAATTTCCTATGTTTTACCCTACCTACTCTAAAGGTTTCCCTTCACTACAAGTACCCCAACCATTTTGGCACCCTGCAGCACCAATAAAGCCTCAGTCCTGGTACCCCGTGGCACAATACCCCGTAGCACCACCGAATTGTCATTCGGGGTACCCTGCTGTACCACCAAAGCCTCAGTTCTGGTACCCTGCAGCACCACCAAAACTTCAGTCCTGGTACCCTACAGCACCAGTAAAGCCTCAGTCCTGGTACCCTCCAACACCACCACAT